TGATTGAGAATGTAAAAAAAAAATTCTAATAAAAAATCAAAATGAAATTCTAAATCTCTTTCATTTGCCAACTTGGATTACATTGGTTTCCTTGTCTGAGGATTGATGTTGGGTCCTATTATATTCTTGTGATATAAATGGACTAAATTTTTAGGTTTGTTTATGGTAGATTAGCCATTAGATCCTATTTAAGCATTAGCCTAGACTTTTAGGTTAAGAATCCCTGAGACTCCTCATCCTATTATTCACCTTGTATACTTAGGCATCTATAGGTCTATAAACCCCAGGTTGATTGATTTTTTCTCATCCCCTGTTGGTGTGAAGAATCAATCCCTTAACTAGAATATGCTGGTTAATATAAGTCTCCTTGTGGCATCTTTCCTAGTCTAGTTATTAAAAACCCTAATAAAATTTAAAATTGGCTTGTTTCCTCCCAATAGTTTAGGTAGAGTAGCCCTTAGTTAAAATATGCCATGTTAGTATAAGTCCCCCATAGACATTTTTCCTAGTCTAGCTATTGAAAATCCAAAAGAAAACTAGAGTTAGATTTCACCAATTCCCCAGGGTGTAGGTTGAGTGCCTCTTAAACTAGTTGCCCCTAGTTAGATGTAAGTCCTCGTGTTTTCTATCTAGGTTAGTCTTTGAAAACCCAAGAAATTCTTCGTCTTTTAAGGTTAGGTGTGAGTCCCCGTGTTTCCTTTTCTGAGGACTAGACTAACTAGTGTAGTGTAAGCTTTTTAGGCACCTTCTTAATTTAGTCACCCAAAAATCTCTAGTATTTTAAGGTTAGGTGTGAGTCCCTATGCTTGCTTTCATTAGATTTATTAGTGTATAAGAAAGCCCCTCGTGGCACCTATCTAGTACTAAAAAGAAAATTCTAGTTTTTTAAAAATATAAGTGTGAGCACACGTGCTTCATTTTCTTAGGACTATATTTACTAGTATAGGAGCAAACCCTCCTGTGCACTTGCCTGGTACTAAAACAAAAACCTCTAGTTTTTAAGGTTAGGTGTGAGTTTTCTTAGGATTAGATTTGCTAGTGTAGGGAGAAATTATTCTATGCGGAGTCCGGCGTAGCTTCTTGTCCGAACTCCAATCAGGTTTTGACACGTGTTTTTTATTTTATTTATTATGCAACCACGTGGATTTTTTTATTAACATGTGACTTGACGACCCGTCCCAACTTATTCAATTAATAATATTTTTCTTGCAACCCGATGACCCAACCCGATTCGCAGGTTATAGATTTGGAAAATGAAGACGATGCGCTAGTTTAGTTTTGAAAACTCGTAGAAGACAAAAAATTTTTAGGGTTTGGGAGTTGGAGCTCTCGTCACGTTCAACAGAGATTACTACGTGTGGAATCCGAAAGAAACGATTGGTCAACGCAGAGATTACTATGCTTTTTATCATCAAGAAGAAATGGTCGATCATCGTTGTCTTCGTCCTCTTTAGCTGTTTAGGGTTTAATATATAGGGCAAGCTTGTTTTTGTGGATATTATGTAACTGTAAACATTTAGAGCTATCTGGATAATGTACAAATTGTTCATGTGTGAACTTGTATACCGTAGAACTTTCAGAGAGGATGTCTAGCTAAATTATGTTCGAATATCAATTGGCTCGGAGGAAATTCATAAATTTAATGGAGTTTAAGAAAGTGAACAATAGTTTCAAGATTGAATATTGTGCACAAGCTTGTGCACATACTGTATACAACCTTGTCAATAGTCTCTGCTATATTTTTCCACACGCTATACACGACCTTGTACACACTGTGTACAACCTTGTATACACACTATGTACATGCTTGTACGCACACTGTTTACAACCTTGTACACACTGTGAATATAAGCTTGTAGAAATGATGCTTTCTCATCACTCATGTTCCTACATTATCTTAGTAGATGGTCTTCTTGCTTTAGCCAAATCATGATTGTAGCTTTCTATAAATTTGTGCACCTTTCAATTTCCATCTTCATCCACTATATTTTTAATCATAGCTAGACAACAAGTTCCAGTATTTGATTTTCGATATTTCATTTGGAAATTCAAATCAAGACCTTTCTTGAAACCAGATTTTGAACAAACAAAATCCTTGCGTCTTATCTTCTTAGAATTGGGCCAATAATTGTGATGTTCCTTGCGAACACTAAAACCAGCATTATTTGCATTCCTGCAATAAGCCTCATATGCCTCCTCACCATTATACACAACCAACAATGCAAAAAATATTAAGAGAAAATCATCACAACCTATTTATACATGTTGGAAATAATTAACGATAAAGAATTGCCCTGTACCCACAATGTGTACAAGGTTAAAAGCCCTTGTACGCACACTGTGTTCAACTTGTATATAATGTGTGTATAAGTTGTACATAGTGTCTGTATAATCATCCAATCAGTGTGTATAAGCTTCTGCACAAGGGGATCCACAAAAGGTAAGGAAATCCCCTTATACAAATACTGTGTATATGATGTAAACAGTGTCTATACCCCTTCGGAGAACATTACTGTTTCTAGAGGATCTATTTATGAACTCATAACCGGTATAAGGAGCAGACGAAATTTCAAAATAAATTCACAAAAACGTGAACTTAGGAGGAGTTTTAAATTTACCTATAAGTTAAAATCTATAGGTTATCCAACCAAATTCACTTTCGTTTCAACCAATCTTGCACTCTCTGCTTTATCCTATAAACTCTCAATAGTTGGTTGCAGTCTTCTTATCTTTAAGTTTTCTTCCTCCGCACTATTCCTTGAGCATGTCATCTCATCAGAGAATTGAAAGTCCTCCAAACCTATTTCCAACATCATCGCCCGTTGCCTATTCATTATATGTTCTTAATTTTTCTTTCTCAGCAGGTATGAAAAGTTTTATTCTGTCAAAACCCTAAAATTTGGAGGACTAAAATTTGGGGATGAAGCACGGGTTAAAAAAAAAGAGTGCTTATTGAATTAGCTGGGTTGGGTCGTTGGGTCATGCGTTAATAAAAAATTCACGTTGATGCATAAAAAATTAAAATAAAAAAAATGTGTCAAGACACATCCGGACTCCGCACATAATAATTTATCTAGTGTAGGAGTGAGCCCTTCTATGGCACCTACATAGCACTAAAATGAAATCTCTAGAACTTTTGTAATATATCAGATGATGGATTTCCTTTGTTTTCATTAATTTGGGCTAGCCTCCGGAGGCCTCACTATAATAAAACTGGTCATTTACTAGCCATTGGCATTCTCATTCCCAATAATTATTTATGAATTAGTTTCAAACCTTGCCATGATTTGAAAGTGTGCAATCAGGTTTTTCCATAAGGCGATGCCCATTTTGAGGCAGAAGCTTCATAGTTAAATCATTAAATTAATGAAAAATATGAACTAATGAATAATATGCTAACATCAATGTAAGATATAAGAATACATCTTAAAAGGTTGAATATAGGCCATTTATTGTCACATAAAGCGATAAACAACACTAAATAAATTCTCCCAGTTCAACCTAACATAAACAAGCAATTTTAAGGTCATAATATATGAATTCCAAAGTCTTCTCCACTCTCATCACTCAAAGTGATTTCATTAGAATTATCATCATAGTTAATTGTTTTGTCTTATCCCTCATACTAAAAGAAGAGGAAACGGGTTTCCAACAATAAGAGGAGAGGTGTTGTATGAGAAGCAATGGTGATGGCCAAGCAATAACAGAGATAGTAGGATTGAGTGCAGGTTTGAGGGTCATACAGTGTGCATCGTGTGGCTGCAAGTTTGGAGTCATGCAATTCTTCTCTAGTTTGGTCTGGTTTAGATAAATACATTGGTTTAATTATGTCATGCAATCTGAACAAGGACACTGTTTATATATATATATATATATATAACAGTTAACTAATTTTTCTTGAAATAAGAAATGAAGCTTGGTATTATGAGAGTTTTTTTGCTAAATGTGTCTTGCTCTGTCCAAAGTATATATTCTTGATGAGTATATGTTCACCCACCCTAATGTTGCTTATTTCTTACGTTTGAATGCAAACCTGGATTCTGTGTCTACGACTGAAATGGTTTTCCTTTGTGTAGTGCGTGCATTTTCTTCCCTCTTATGCAAACCTAGTTTGACACCTTTTTTTCCAATAAAAGAAAAATCGTTGCAATTTCTTGCTTGTGAGCAGAAGTGAGATTTTCATATATTTGAAGTTATAATTAGCATTTTTTCTTCGAACATAGTCCTATTGAAGGATACTGATTTGTTTCATTCAACCCTGTTTTGTTAGTTGAAATTCTTCATGATGATCTTAAATGCACCTCTGTCCACCAATAGATGAAATAAATGATTTTCATTTAACTTTGTCTCTAATTTGTGTATTTAGATGAGCAGTTTAAGCTACCTTTTATTTTTTACCTGTTTCTCTTTAGCAGTAACAGAGAAAATGCAAATGCGAATGTGTATTAGTTTTTGTTCTCTATCATAGGGCGAATTATTAGGTCCGGTCACCGGATCTAAATTTTCATCCGGATTTCGTGCGCTTTTGATGTATTTTTGAAAAAGAGTAGCTAATACACAATTTTAATTACATTTTAGCTTCTTTTTGTTGAGTATTTGCAAAAATATAGTAAAAGCGCAACAAATATTTTACTCATTGAGTATTTGCTGCCCTTTTGCTGCGCTTTTCAAATACTCAGTAAAAGGGTAGCAAAAGAGCAACTAATATGCAATTAAAATTATGTATTAACTGCTCTTTTTCAAAAATACATCAAAAGCGCAGTAAAAGCGCACGAAATCCGGACGAAAATTTAGGTCCGGCGACCGGACCTAATAATTCTCCCTATTATAGTACTCTGATTCTTTGGAGATTTTACTTACCAGGTATTGCATACTTTTGCAGTGTATAACCGTTATTACATTATATTAAGAATAGATGCATAATGTAAACAATTTATGCTTTGATTATTAGAGTTTATTATTATTCTTTTCTGGAGTTGATGATATATCGTTAATTGTAGTGTTACGGATGGAGTTGGATATTCAGACGTTCATGCAGAGTTCTGATCAATGCCAATTTGAATTCCAGCACTTCCCTACATCTTACCTCAGGTGTGCAGCTCACCGTGTGGCTCAACACTACGGATTGCAAACTTTGGTAGTTGAGAATGTTGCAGATGGTTCAGGTAGCAGGATAGTTGTAAGGAAAACTCCTGAAAGCAGATATCCTGCCATCTGTTTATCAGATATTCCTACCAAGCAGCTTGAAAATGAGCAAAAAGGACAAGTTAAGATTGTTATAAGGCCAAGACCAAGCAAAGCATCCCAGATTGATATGGAAGGACAAAGAAACAGGATCATTTTCCGCACTGTGGAAAAACGAAAAGAGGATTATGATAAAGCGCGAGCCCGCATATTCAATGGCTCTTTCAGTGCCGATAATGATCTTGTTGCTGCTGCTGATGGAAGAAATTCATCAAGTGGAGATGAGAAGGAAACCTTTAGGAATGTAACAGAAGAGCTGGAAAGGATAGGCATAAAGGAGGCAGCATCCAGAGTTGCCATCTTTCGAGACCGAGAAAAAGACCGTAGCGATCCAGATTATGATCGAAGTTATGATAGGTCCAAGGCAAACTCATTGTGGCAGTTTCTTTATTCTCTGGTTAACTTCTTCATTCTTCAATGAACTAATTTTTAATTGTTTAATGCTTAGATATGCTCGGGGATTTGTACCTTGCAATAGCTTTGCCCTTGGAGTTTGCAATGTTCTTCAGCCTTCTCACGTGCAATATGATGGGGCTTACTCTCAGATGGGCTACAGGCCGGTTGACCCTTCAACCATAAATGTATTTGGTTCTGTTGGATGTAGTCAGACATCACCTAGTGCTGTTTATGTACAATGGCCGAGTCCCGCTATGATGTATGCACAGTCTTATGAGCACTTTAGACATGCAGTATTTCAGGTAAGAAATTATACTTCTGTTTTCCCTACCAATGTTTACAAAATCCGGGTTTTACTTTGGTGTTTTACTTGAGAATTCCCTTGGCGTGCAATTTTGTTTAAATTTCTACTATATTAGTTTCATATTTTGAGCCTTAGAAATTTTGATTTGAACAAAATTAATGATTGAGAATTGATTTACTTTTAAATAAACTATTCACATTCATCTAGTTGGTATGGGTTTTTAAATAGCAGTCATTCTATCATTAGCCTTACCCCAACTAGTTTGTGTCGGCTTTATAAAATCATCATTTTATACTCATCATCATAATAATCATCTATTATCATCAGCATCATCTTAACTATTTGGTGTTGTTTTATGTTTCTCATTTTTCATTTGTTTGTAGTGTGTATGAGTAGTTAAAACTGATAGGAAGTGGACACAATTTCCTCGAAATGAATGAATGAAAATAAAAAATTATGAAGAAGAACACACCAAAACTCTTTTTGTTGCAACATATATGAAATAAAACAACAAGATACAGTTGGATCTTCAATTGAAGATGAAGATTCGGCTCTACCAAATCCCTAGACGGCGGCTAGAACTCTCACAACTTAAGAAATTCTAATTTCAACAAAATCAAAATATAATCCTAAAATCACCCTATTGTTAGACTTAAATATGCTTCCTTAATTCCCTCCCAAATTAGCCCCCTTTTCCTAAACAATTCCCTCTTATTTTTGAACTCAAATTAGATCTCTTGCCCTAAATATTTCTCTTCCAATTATAATTAAAACTTTCCTAAATAATTATTCTTTGATTAAGAATCTTCCTAAACAACTCTCTCTTGATTAGGAAACTTTCTAATTCCCTCCCAATCAAATCAGTCGGTCTATCAATACTTCTCTTCGAAAGTGCCACATAAGGTGGAACAAATGAAACTGTTGCTGAAGCATTGGATTGAAAAATGGACTATCACTGATTTGAATGATCCCTACCTCTAGCATCTTCCTAATCAATTTCTCGATCTCATCCTTTTGGAGTTGGGAAGAACAGGATGGACAAACATTGATATGTGAGACTCTTTCCTTCAAAATGATAACATGCTCTTGTTCCCGCGGAGGAGACAACTGTAGGAGTGGTTGAACTAGTTGGAACTCCTCTCGATACTACTGTAGGAGTGGTTGAACCATATATGATACTTCATCGTCTCCTCATCTTCTTGTCCTTCCAAACTTTGCATCTCTACCCTAAATCTCACTCCTTGACCCTTTATCCTCCTTGAAAGAGGCTCCAAAGGTGGCATCTCTTATTTCCCCCCCAAAAGTTTCACCTCCCCATCCTCTCTCATCGCCCCTATATTATGATTTCTTCCACTTCCTTGTCTAGTCAATGGCGCCCATGCCTCCGATGTGGTTAGTTGTGTAAGAAGCTCCAATATTTTCTTTATCATGTCTTCTAGGATAGAAAGTCTTCCTTCCAAGGATGAAAACATTCCTTCGATGGTTAAGAACTTCTCCACCAACTAGGATTTGATTTGCTTCACTTTTCCTTCCAAGACATCCACCTTCTTTGTCGCCATAGGTCCTAGAAAAGTGCGCTGATACCAATTTAATAGGAAGTGGATACAATTTTCTTAAAGTCAGTGAACAACAATAAAAAATTAGGAATAACATACCAAAACTCTTTTTACTGCAAGATATATGAAAGAAAATAACAAGATACAGTTGGATCTTCAATTAGAGAAGGAGATCCGGCTTTCCAAAATGTAATAGCCCATTCTCTTAACTGTTGAAATGTTGTCCACTTGGGCCTAAGGGCTTCACGGTTTTGTCCTATTGATGTAACTTCCCTGGAGGTCACCCATCCTAGAATTTCTCTTGGATGAGTATGCTTGACTGCGGAATTTCTTAATGAAATTCTAATCATTATATCAAAAGGCACCTCGATACTTAAGAGTTTAACTTCATTTACTTAAGAGGTTTTATAATCTTTTCCACTTAAGTAATATACGTCCTCATTAGTGTCTTGATTCTAGAATCATCCACCATGTAGATAGGAGTCTAGAGGTGGCCCCTATAAGTTCAGTGGTGACTCCCTCCATGTAGCACTTTGTCCCATATAGGATTTAAGAGATGGCTCCCATGGCGTAGCACTTTGTTTTGTATTACATTTAGTTGCCATCTTTTGGCTAGTTATATCATTTGTAACAGTCCAAACTCTTAATTATCAAAACATTATTCGCTTTGGCCTAAGTGCCTCACGGTTTTGTCCTGTTGGTGTAATTTTCCAGGAGGTCACCCATTCCCGAATTTCTCTCGGAAGAGCACACTTAACTGTGAAATTTTTTAATTAAATTTCAACCATTAGACCAAAGGTCCCTCAATGTTTAAGAGTTACTCTTCTTTTACTTAAAAGGTTTCACGCCCAAATTCCTTGCTGGAAGTTAGAGCTCTCACAACCTAAAAAATTTTAATTTCAACAAACTCAAAACATAATATTGATATCACCCTATTGTTAGCCTTAAATAAGCTCCCCTAATTTTCTCCTAAATCAGCCACATTTTTCTAAATAATTCTCTCTCATATATGAATTCAAATTATCTCTTGCTCTAAATAATTCCCTCTCAATTATAATAAAAATTTCTTAAATAATTTTCCTTTGATTAAGAACAGCTCTCTCTTGATTATGAAAACTTCATAATTCCCTCGCAATCAAATCGGTCCATTAAAAGCATGCTCTTTGTAGATCATTTTGAATAATTGTTATCTATGTTACCTTGATATTACCCATTCTTTTTTTTTGACATTTGTTACTATTTTTATTTACATGTTTAGTAGGTTTAGTTTCTTCCATTTATTTTACAAAATACATGTTTATTGCAATGCTCTTCTAATTTAGCCTTCCTAATTTTTTCATAGATTCATCTTAATATTCTAATTTAATTTATATTCAAGTTGGCTATCAACAAACTTTTGATTGCCCAAAACTTAAATCTATAATATATGGTTGAACTAATTATAAATTTATAAAATTTATCTCAAAGTCTCCATGGTATTATCTTATCTTATGATACTCCAAAAATAGTTTTTCACTTTAATCATACAATCATAATTGTAGAAGTTATAATTCATATATATCACATTAATTTGCATGATATATCTAAGATATTTAAGCCTATTACATCTAAGTATTATTTGACTTGTAATATTAAAATTATACCACTAAATTTGCATATCATATACTAAATTTTTATTATACTACTATTAAATATTTTTTTATTATTTTCTCCATTCATCCAATTATTTGTTTATTTCAATAAATGTTCAATTGGTTAGCACTATATCATATGTGATACAGCATATGACAATACACCTCATTTTGAATATTCTCTTCAAGCATCTCTTTGATCAATTATAAAAGGACAAATTTTATTAAACATTGAGAGATTTTATCTGTGAAATAGAAAAAAAAAGAAACTGATGCCAATTGTCGCTTGAGCGCACGACTGGCTTAGTGACATGCTGCCAGTCATTATCTGAAAAATGGATGGTCGCCACATCAGCATTTAAAAATGTTTTCCTGAATATTTCTTTTATTTTTTCTTGATATATCTTTGATTAATTTCAGAAGTGCTGACGCAAAATTGCTAATTTGAAATTTGGTTTTTCTTGTAGTTAATAATTTTTCTGTGATAAAAAAATTATTCCCTTTGTTTAATAGTTTTTTATGAGAATGTGATTGACTTTAGTAACCTTAGTACCCTAAATGTGAATAAAGATTTTTTTATCGGTGTGTTACTAAAATAGAAGTTAAAGAAGCTTTAAAGAAAATGAAGTGTAGAAAAATTGTATGACCTAATGATATTCCAATTAGGGTAGCAAATGAACCAAGTGTTTGACGAGCTGCTCGTGGCTCGACTTAATAAGGGCTCGTTCATGTTCGTTTAATAAGGTAAATAAACGAGTTTGAACACACTTGATAAATACTCGATAGCTAAATGAACGAGCTTGAACAACGCGCTCGGTTCATTTATGTTTATGAATAGTCTCGCTTAGAAGCTCGTGAACAAGCTCGCTTAGATGCTCGATTAGAGCTCGACTAACAAGCTTGATTTGAGCTCAATTAGAGTTTTAAAAATAAATACTATTTAGTCTACTAATATAATAATTTTTTTACTAATTTAATATTTTAAGATTTAACTGTTTTTATTTTATTTTTACTAATCTAACTAATTAGAAATATTCTGTTAAATTTTATATTAAAATTTCCTCTCCATTACATCTTTTATTTTATTTAATCTTTTATTCTCCGGCCTCAATTCCAGCCTCTCTCTCTCCTCAGTGGCGTCAATATATTTAAAAAAAAGAGAAAAAACTGTAGGCGGTTTTGTCCCACACCACTTGGAGGTGAATGCTTATGCAATATAAAAGTAAATTCATTTGATGGCTTGATGAAAAGTAGGCAGCTGTCTAGGCGAGTTGTATGGGTGGAACGTGTAACGAGCTGCTCGGTTGGTTTAACGAGCCGATCGACAAGCCGCTCGAGTAAGCTTGAAATTAAATGAGCTCAAATTTGAACACGAGCCGAGCTCGAACGTGCTTTTTTTAAATGAGCTCGAGTTCGAACAGGTGTCCAAGAAGCTCAACGAGCTTCGAGTCTAGCTTGAGCTCTATTATGACAAACGAACCTGAACTAAAACAACTAAAGCTCGGCTCGACTCGGTTTGTTTGCAACCCTAATTCTAAAAAGCTGTGAAAATACTTAGGAGATGAAGGAATTTCGTGGCTTACTAAACTTTTTAATATTATTTTAAAGACTAAAAATATGCCAGATGAATGAAGAATGAGTGTGTTGATTCCTTTTTAAGAAATAAAGGCGATGCACAAGATTGTGCGAATTATAGAGGAATTAAGTTAACGTGTCATACTTTAAAACTATGGGAGAGAGTTATGGAGCATAGGTTGCGGTGTGACATTAATGTTTCTCAAAATCAATTTGGATTCATGCCAGGTAGGTCT